GCACTTGTTACTAGTAGCGATGCACTTGTTCCTAGTAGCTTCTTGTTTCTACTTTGATATGACAAAACGCCTCCGAGTTGGTCGGATAAGCCATCCAAGGAGTTTGACTTTGCCTTTTCCCGAGAGCTTTTTGGATTGAGGCGAGAATGTGCTCGCAAAACAACGCGACTGAATTGTCCTCTATTTGTTTCCCAAAAAATCTAGGAACCAAGCGATTAGTGAGCTATCCTGCGTCCGCGTAGTAGCTTCCTAGCTAGGAGCAACTTCTCCTAGTAGCTTACTTCTCCCTTACTAAGTAGGAGGGCAACAAAAGTCTCTATGTCTTTGTACGCAACAGACAGTGTTTTTTGGTTGTCGATCTAATTCTATGTATTTATTGTTTCTACTAGCAAACATTGTTCCTAGTAGTAAGGCCAGGAGCGCCCCTAGTAGCGTCCTTGCTCCTAGTAGCGATGCCCTTTGTTACTGTGTCGATCTCGCAGGTTCACATCTCGTGGCACTCCTCTGGGAGCGTTGCCGATTTCTCCACCAGAGAAGGTCGCAAGCTTGAAACAGAGGACGACTTGCCCAGTCCATGTTATTAGGTTAGTTGCCATCGCTCTTAGGTTGGAGCCCATCTCTTTTACAATTCTTTACATTGATTTTGGAAGATCACATAGGACACCTGGATTGAGGTTCTGACTCTTGACACTGACTTCCTTTTGGCGGTTTGGCACGAAAAGTACACGGATTTGCAGGCAGCAAGCCAAGAATTGACTAGAGTATCAGGTCGGACCAAAGGCAAAAGAGTCTATAGTCAAAGAGAAAGACTAGCGTCCTTGCTCCTATAGTAAGGCCAGGAGCCCCTAGTAGCTTCTTGCTCCTAGAAAGAGAAAAAAGATACATAAAAGAAAGACAAAAAATGAATATGGTCTTAAGGTCCGACAGAAAGAAAGAAAGAAAGAAAGACATGAAAGCACTACAGTGGGTCCTACGTGCATTTCGACACACTAGAGCAAGGGTTCAATCCAGCTTCTGCCGGTGGGTGGGAAAAAAGCTCCGAAGAATTCCATCGAAACAATTCGATTTCGGACATGAACGTATTGAATTCGTTGTCCTTCTCGTCCCCTTTCTATTTTGTTCTCTCTGCTTCTTTTGGTAAAAGGGAAATGTTTTAAAGGGCGCTATTGGAGACCATTGCTACTAGTGACAAGAAACTACTAGGTTGGAGGCCATCGCTATTAGTAGCTTCTTGTTACTAGTAGTAAGAATGCTAGTAGTAATGCCCTTTGTTCCTAGTAGCTTCTTGTTCCTAGTAGTAAGGCCAGGAGCCCCTAGTAGTATCCTTGCTAATAGTAGCGATGCCCTTTGTTCCTAGTAGCAAAAGAGTTGCTTCGGCTCCACAGGTGAGCGGGGCCACGGCCGCAGCCAGGGCCATCCCTCTCTTCGTGACTCGTGTGCGCCCGTAGAGACGCCCATAGAGACGTAGAAGACGCCGTAGAGAGCGACTAGTCGTGTGCTTTTGGAGCCAATGAAAAATCAAAGTCTTGCAATAGCATCTACTAGAGAGAATATCAATTTTTATATCAGAATTCGTTTGAGAGAATTCGTTTCGAATTAGAGTCCCGCTAAAATTCAGCGGGTTGGCACATTTTGGTGCCATCGAGTCCTGACCGGAACAAATCAGAGGATCTCTCAGTGGCAGGTTGGAGGCCATTGCTAGTAGATTGGAGGCCATTGCTAGTAACAAGAAGCTACTAGGAACAAGTGCATCGCTTCTAGTAACAAGTGCCTTACTAGTAGTAACAAGAAGCTACTAGGAACAAAGGGCATCGCTACTAGGAGTGATCGGACGCTACGAACGGGGCTCCTGGCCGTACTACGAACGGAGCTATGTTCGCTACTAGTAAACATCAAGGTGTTCCCAGTAGCTTCTTGTTACTACTAGTAAGGCACTTGTTACTAGAATCGTTAGCTTATTGTTAGCATCAAGGTGCTCGTTCTCACGGCGCTTTGCTGCACTGATTCGCACTGCGCTATGGTTCAAAGGGGGGTAGCAGCAGCCCTGGATTGGGATAACAGGCAGGGACGATTTGTCTATAGATCTTTCCAAGTAGCGTTCTTGCTCCTAGTAGTACGGCTAGCCCCTAGTAGCTTCTTGTTCCTAGTAGCGATGCCCTTTGTTACTAGTAGCAGTTTACTTGCATGCGCAGCTGGCACTGCATTCAGGTTCCGCCATGGCCAACTCCGACTCTGATCACGAGGCCAGATGCATTCACCCTGTCATAGCTTTTCACATTTGGCAACATGAGTAGATAACAGACCTCTAGGTTGGAGGCCATCGCTATTAGAAACAAAGAAGAACATGAAACGGTTTTTTCGCCTCGTATGAGGAGATAACCGACCTCTATGATGAAGAATCGTTTGAGAATGACGCTTCAGAGGAAGTCCAGGAGGGTGAAGTGCATCTGGGCTGACAGAGCATTGTGTTTGGAGTGCACTCAAGTGCACTATGAGACAAACATGAGACCAATGTTGCAAAAGAGTTAGAATGCTGAACTCACAATAACGAAACGAACTTTTTTGTTGCAAATAATATCAAATAACTGCTTGTTTATTTGCAAATAAGATGTAGTGGAGCTTAGCAAGCTCAGCAACGGCTGGGCCTGCTCAACGCTCAGTTCATTTGTGCTTCCATCCTTCCACATTGATCTATCTATCAGTCCCTTGATGCATCACTCCAGGTATGCTTCTATCTTTTTCTCCATGTGTTTTGTTTCTCTGTAAAAAGAAACTGTTTCTGTGTGTTGTGATCCCTCTTTCCTTGTGTGTGTGGCGTTATTGTTTGTTCTTAAAACCTTTAGGCCTTAGGCCTTTTCTGCTTCTTCCTGCTATCCTTTTGTCATTCGAACATCCCCAAAGAATGGTTTCTTGTTCTGTGTCTCATCTACCCCTCCATGTATCAATCTAACTCTCCCTATGAATATTCTCAGGTGTGGTCAACACCGACCAAATCAGTTTCTGTTTGGAGCTAGGCCAGAGTCAGGAGGTACGCTTTTACTCCGCCAACACTTGCCCAAGGCCTTCTTAGACAAACTTGAGACTTGCCCTTTCAACTCCCACAGGGCCTTCGCTCGTAACACAAAAGCACTGCGGCAAGTCGATCTCCGAAAGCATTGCTACGTATGCAAGGGACACGAGCGGCAGCCTTGCCAGCCTTGCCAGCTTTTTGTGTTCACATGTGTTTTCTAAGGATGTGAATTGGAGACTGACTCTAGACATGTGACGAAGAAAGGTCTGAAGGTCAGAGTTCAAACAGGCCACACAGGTCAATACGAGGCCACACGACGAAAAGTAAAAGTCGTTGCCGAGGATCCACGTCTTTGAAATCGACGTCACTTAGCTCAGATTTTGCCGCAGGGGGGTAGGCCGCTAGGAGGTAGATTCCTTTGCAATTACAATTCTAATTAAATTCGTAACGTGTTACTAGTAAGGCACTTGTTACTAGTAGCGTGGCACTTGTTCGGGGAGGTAGGTAGGTACCGACAGGACGCAGGATAGCGAAGACGCTTCTTCAAGGAAACTCCCCCCCGCCGCCCTGTTTGAAGAAGCGCTCGCACTAATGATTTGGTTCCTAGATTTTTAGGGAAACTTAACTAATAGCCTCCAACCCAATAGGAAAGCTCTTGACTCACAAGAGAAGCATTTCCCTTTCTTTTGCGTGCTTTGTTGTACTGCAGAACATGTAGCAGGTGCCCTTGTTCGGTTGGAGGCCATTGCTATTAGGTTGGAGGCCATTGGTTCTAGGTTGGCTTATTCTGTATATTGTTTTTGAACGATGACTTAGTAGAGGACGCTACTAGGAGCAAAGGGCATCGCTACTAGGAGCAAGGACGCTACTAGGGGCTCCTGGCATCGCTACCAGGAGCATTTTTGTGCTAAATCAATTTCTTTGCCACACGGACTCTGAGGAGAACTGCTTCGACGAGCTCAGACTGTCTCCAGAGGTGATTGCTGAAACACAGGAGGCCATCAATCCTAGAAGCAATAGCCTCCAACCTAGTAGCTTCTAGTTACTAGAAAGCAAGAATGCTCCTAGTAGCGACGCCCTTTGATCCTAGTAGCTTCTACTCACTAGAAAGCTTCAAAGACATACTAGAAAGCTTTACTGTTACTACTAACGATGGCCTCCACCCTAATAGCGATGGCCTCCAACCTACCGGAGATGGCCATCAATCTTGTTCACGTCCTTTCTCCACTTTTATCCTTTCGTGCTTCGCCAAAATCACTGTTTCACGTGCCTTGAAGTCTGGTCTTGGTCATTTGGGAAGGACACTAGAACACTGACCGACCTATAATTTCTACCTTTAAAAAAAACAATGCATATGTCCGAAAGTCAGCTTTCAGTCTCACTTACATTTTTGTACGTGTCCTTCCTTTCTCTTGAAAGCAATGTAGCTTTGACACCTGTTGCTTTCAAGTGTTATTCCATTCTTTTCCAGGTTTGGTTCACTTTCATTAGCCTGGCAAGTAGCCGTGATGCAGCAGGACAGGTGAGAATGAGCGTCCGATGGGACTCCGAGTCAAAATCAACCTTTTTACTTTAGCAGCTTTAGCAGCTCTCATGTCCTTCTGCTGAGTGCATGCTGCGCATTCTTGGTGGAGGAGAAGCCATCTATAGCGCCATCTTCGAAGCTGCGCCCTCCTTGCAGGACCTTTTTAAGACCCCCAGGGCCGTCATGGCCACTTGGTAGATTCGTGAGATGTAGGAGGTGATTTGGACAAGAAGCAGTAGTTACTAGTAGCGAACCTTGTTCCTAGTAGTGAGGCCAGGAGCCCCTAGTAGCGTCCGATCGCTCCTAGTAAGCAAACGCAAATGGAAAAAGAATTGACCAGAAGCAGGCGGGGTCTCCATTTTTTGGACCACGGGGGGGTAGGCCGCTCGAAGAGATAGTAGCTAGGTAGCTAGTAGAAGCCAAACGTAAACGGTGGCTAGTACCTCACTTAAGCTACTACATACTGGACGCAGGATAGCTCTAAAGGCGGCGGGGGGAGCTTCCTTTTTTTTTTTTGCTCTCAAGCCGCGACTCCGAGTCGGTGGCAACCCCAGCGCATTCCGCAGCTAGGGTCACTCGTAGCCAAGACTACAAAAGATTGTCAAAGGGGATGCACCAAGACCAAGGTGTTGCTTTGGCACCTTTGGCAAACGCACGTGCAAGCATATCCAATGCAGCATTCTCCACATAAGCTTCAGCCCCGAGGAAAGCACCCTTCGGAAAGGTTTTGCCATTACTCTTGTTGCGCTTGTCAAGCAACAGAGGCGCGACAACAAACTTCTTCTGCTTACAAAAGGCAAAACCCGAACGAATCAAGCTAGCAAAGGCTTGAGGTGTGCAGATGGTTCCATGAGGCAGTTCAAATCTCCAACCTCGTACAAATGCCACAACGGCCAACTCGAAGACTGAGCAAGCAAATCCATCCCCGACACGCCACTGCAAGGAGGCGCAAAAGCGTAAAAAGGTGCGGAAGTTGTTCTCAGTCAAGGTGGACGTGGCTCGAAAGGGTACATTAAGGTCAATTTCGACCTGCCATGTAAACAAAGCCGGCGAGATGTCCCATGGCCACTTGGGACACATCTGTCTAGCAGAGTACTGGATGACAGGCTCAGGGGAAACTTGGCCTTTCGGTGTACCGGAGTTGGCAGGCTTTTTGCACATCCTATTTAGCTGGCTCAACCATAGCTGTCTGGCAAAAACATCATGCTCCATAAGATGCAGCCCGCTACGAGTCTCGGAAGCAAGTTGGGCAATATGCTGCTTGGCGCAGTTGTCAGCCAGCCTATTAAGAATGATGTCCTGACGAGTAGACCCAGCTTTGTTTGCCAACTCGTCCGTGAGTGCCTGGCTAGGAACGTGTTCCAACAAATGTGCAGGGCACCAAAGAAATTGCAATGGAGAAGGGTGGAGCTCTTTGCGGTGAAGTAGCTGATCCAAAATGAAGCTCCACCAATTGGCGTGGGTCCATTCCACTTGAACCGTTTCAGTTTGAAGCAACACAAGGAACTGCTTGACGATGGTAAGGGAATCCGTGTGGATCACCAACGGCTGTTCTGCTCTGGCAAAGGCGACCACAATGGCCCAAAGCTCAGCTGTATAACTGGAAAGGCGCCAATGGCGAACCCGACCAACTGAAATAATAGACTCATCGGCTGCAATGACGGCAAAGGATGCAATGGCCAGCCAAGGATAGGCTGTCAATTGCACGGAACCATCCGTCCACACATGTTGAACCCGTTCCTGCACTGCCGACCATTGACAAACAGGAACCTCCGAAATGCTGGACACTTGCAGTTTATCGCGAATAGTGTCCAAAGGAAGCTCAACAATGCCCAGAGTGCAGAAGTTAGGGCCAAAGAAGAAGTTGGTCGAAGGTTGCCGGACCGACTCAGGCAAGGAGTCACACTCGTAAG